GTTATTCTGTCTCTCACTGTTCAAATAAACCTACTATTAAAAGTATAGACTGATCATGTCTTTGTCAGTGGGCAAACGTACAAAATCAGCAGGGGATCAAATACTTTTTTCCCTCACTGTACATCCTGACACATTGACTACCGGAACAGCCAGCCCCTCAGCCAGCCCCCAAAGAGTTGGTCTGGGATCAGACAGTCGTTCACCTGAGTGATTGGATTCACTGTGATGTGTCTCCTACCATAATGCAAGCCTGGCCTAGTAGCACAATTGCAGAGAGACAGAGCTAGCAGCTGTTCCAACCGCTCCATAATTAAACTCTGGTGGGACTACTCACACTCCCTCCCAAGTGTTGCTCGGCTGGGGCTCGCAGTACTCCCCAGTCCCCAGCCAGCCATGTGCTGCACTCCAGAGAGACGGAAAGAGCAGCTTAGTATCTCAACAACAGGGCAAGACTACTGTACTATCTCCATGAACTCATGCTTTATAATAGGTGGCCTCCTGTGGTTTAAAGGAAAGGTCATGCCTTGAGTCTGTTGGCCACTCGCAGCAGGTCAATATCGGCACCGTCTCCTCCTGTGTAGAGTGGAGGCTTTGGCTGCCTGGCTTTGTGACAGGTTCACTCCGGTTGGTTTCACACACCAACACCCCAAGCCCTGTCCATTAAAACCTCAGACTGGGCTAGATGAACATAAACTAGAGGAAAAGAGACAGGAGAAAGGAAGCAATTGAAGGAAGGAAGGAAGGAAGGAACAGGCTTAACTGATGTCTGAGAGGAGAGGACAGGAGACGACAGGAGAGCAGGCAGGACCTACAGGAAGTATTGATTTCAATGGATGGTTTCGTCTGGTCTCTTCAGTCCTGAGGGATCCGGTGTTGTCTTTCGTCTCTAAAGTTCTGTCTGTCTCACCATCGCAAGGCATGTGCAGTGAATCTGTGTAGAGCAACATTACACACATTAACCTCCACCTTTACAGGAGGAGTAGTGGTTAACATGTAGTTATTAACCACTGTCAGTGCAGTATGTGCAATGTGCCGGATGTTTGTATGAACATAATATGAACATCCTGCGCTATTAACTCATCCTTAGATGAGTTGCCAACTAAGCATGAAAATGTTTAATTCAAATAACTCCTAAAGCTCTATTTATTTATTCACTGAATGCAACATCATTTGCATATTACAAATCCAGGCCATACATTTCCTTATGTGTTTTCCCGTGGTAGCCACTAGCGGGGTCTCTATAGTACAATGCCTGGAGCTGTGCGTTCACACATGTATTCACATTTTGAGTTAGTCATACGATTAGATATATTCACCTAAAACCACCATATTCTGCAGACCATATCTTTCACATATTTGTCAGCATTGTGTACTTAAGGCATCTGCAGCTGGGGCTGGGTCCCAACTGTGGGTTGCTGTGGCAGCCATTTGGCCACATCAGGAGTATGGGTCCTTCTGGGTAATTGGCCGTCCATCCTCATCCTGTCTGAATGATGCCCCTCAACTGGCCAGGCAGGCAGGCAGAAGGCTCTGTTGGGGAGACGACTCATCACACACACACACACACACACACACACACACACACACACACACACACACACACACACACACACACACACACACACACACACCACTGTAACTGTAAGGTTGTTGTTCAGAGCAGCCATTCAGACCAATTACAGAGAGAGTTACAAAGAGAGTAGTGTCCTCAAAACACTCAGGAAACAAGGCACTGCCTTTGAACTACACTGTGCCAGTTGTTGCAAAGGTGAGTTAAAGTAAAAGGAAGGGAGAGAGAATTCCCCTTGAGTTAGAACAGGTTCCCCTGGACAGTACCGTTGATGCACCACTGTAACAGGTTCCCCTGGACAGTACCGTTGATGCACCACTGTAACAGGTTCCCCTGGACAGTACCGTTGATGCACTACTGTAACAGGTTCCCCTGGACAGTACCGTTGATGCACCACTGTAACAGGTTCCCCTGGACAGTACCATTGATGCACCACTGTAACAGGTTCCCCTGGACAGTACCGTTGATGCACTACTGTAACAGGTTCCCCTGGACAGTACCGTTGATGCACCACTGTAACAGGTTCCCCTGGACAGTACCATTGATGCACCACTGTAACAGGTTCCCCTGGACAGTACCATTGATGCACCACTGTAACAGGTTCCCCTGGACAGTACCATTGATGCACCACTGTAACAGGTTCCCCTGGACAGTACCGTTGATGCACCACTGTAACAGGTTCCCCTGGACAGTACCATTGATGCACTACTGTAACAGGTTCCCCTGGACAGTATCGTTGCACCTATTTGTCTTTCATATCATGAACAACTCACTTGCCTGAAGTCTCATAATCCCTATTCAGTGAATTTGAAGGTCAATTTGATTCCCACCACTCTGCAGGAAATGTGAAAATGAAAATAAGCAGGAATGTTTATCGAAACAGACCGAACTAAACGTTTTCTGCTGTGTCAGAATTATTCTGAAGCCAGCTCCCCTGTGGCGTTGGAAATGGCTGAGTTGCACTAGCAGCAGCCGGGTGAAGCCAGGTCGGGTGTTGGTGTGAGTCAGGTCCACAATCAAAGCAAAGGAACGGGGCCCATGCAATGTTCCCTCAAATTTTTCTCAGCACTGAGCAAATTTCAGGTCTGCTGAGCACAGACTTGAACTTTGTGAAAATGATGTGCAACTTCCAGCATGCGTTTACTGTGAACACTGAGGCTGTACCCGCTTTAAGTTCGTTTTAACAGTGGTCAAGTAGGCTACTGTGGCTATTTGATCTTAATGTAGGCCTACCAGAGTGGCCTACCATCAAAAACAATGGAGAAAATGCATCCCATAACATTTTAACATGGAAATAGATGTTATATCATTCAGCCTACAGTAGCCAATGTGTGGTGTTCAGTGCCTTGCAAAGGTATTCATCTCCCTTGGCGTTTTTCCTATTTTGTTGCATTACAACCTGTAATTTAAATTGATTTTAATTTGGATTTCATGTAATGGACATACACAAAATAGTCCAAATTGGTGAAGTGAAATGAAAAAATTACTTGTTTCAAGAAGTTATAAAAAATAAATAACGGAAAAGTGGTGCGTGCATATGTATTCACCCCATTTGCTATGAAGCCCTTAAATAAGATCTGGTACAACCAATTACCTTCAGAAGTCACATAATTAGTTAAATAAAGTCCACCTGTGTGCAATTTAAGTGTCACATGATCTGTCACATGATCTCAGTATATATATACCTGTTCTGAAAGGCCCCAGAGTCTGCAACACCACTAAGCAAGGGGCACCACCAAGCAAGCAGCACCATGAAGACCAAGGAGCTCTCCAAACAGGTCAGGGACAAAGTTGTGGAGAAGTACAGATTAGGGTTTGGTTATAAAAAAATATCTGAAACTTTGAATATCCCACGGAGCACCATTAAATCCATTATTTAAAAAATGGAAAGAATATGGCACCACAACAAACCTGCCAAGAGAGGGCCGCCCACCAAAACTCACGGACCAGGCAAGGAGGGCATTAATCAGAGAGGCAACAAAGAGACCAAAGATAACCCTGAAGGTGCTGCAAAGCTCCACAGCGGCGATTGGAGTATCTGTCCATAGGACCACTTTAAGCCGTACAATCCACCGAGCTGGGCTTTACGGAAGAGTGGCCAGAAAAAAGTCATTGCTTAAAGAAAAAAAGAAGCAAACACGTTTGGTGTTCGCCAAAAGCCGTGTGGGAGACTCCCCAAACATATGGAAGAAGGTACTCTGGTCAGTTGAGACAAAAATGTAGCTTTTTGGCCATCAAGGAAAACGCTATGTCTGGCACAAACCCAACACCTCTCATCACCCCGAGAACACCATCCCCACAGTGAAGCATGGTGGTGGCAGCATCATGCTGTGGGGACGTTTTTCATTGGCAGGGACTGGGAAACTGGTCAGAATTAAAGGAATGATGGATGGCGCTAAATACAGGGGAATTCTTGAGGGAAACCTGTTTCAGTCTTCCAGAGATTTGAGACTGGGACAGAGGTTCACCTTCCAGCAGGACAATGACCCTAAGCATACTGCTAAAGCAACATTCGAGTGGTTTAAGGGGAAACATTTAAATGTCTTGGAATAACCTAGTCAAAGCCCAGACCTCAATCCAATTGAGAATCTGTGGTATGACTTAAAGATTGCTGTATACCAGCGGAACACATCCAACTTGAAGGAGCTGGAGCAGTTTTGCCTTGAAGAATGGGCAAAAGTCTGAGTGGCTAGATGTGCCAAGCTTATAGAGACATACCCCAAGAGACCTGCAGCTGTAATTGCTGCAAAAGGTGGCTCTACAAAGTATTGACTTTGGGGGGGGTGAATAGTTATGCACGCTCAAGTTTTCTGTTTTTTTGTCTTATTTCTTGTTTGTTTCACAATAAAAAAATATTTTGCATCTTCAAAGTGGTAGGCATGTTGTGTAAATCAAATGATACAAACCCCCAACATTTTTTATTCCAGGTTGTAAGGCAACAAAATAGGAATAATGCCAAGGGGGGGTGAATACTTTCGCAAGCCACTGTAGGCCTACATTCCATGATACTTTTGAAAGAAAATGCAGGGCTTGACATTAACCTGTTTATCCACTTGTCTTTCAGACAAGGAGGTGACTGAAAATGGTTTTGTTTGATGAAAGAAACCACTTTACAAAATAAAATGCATTATTATTCCCATACCATTATTACAGAGAATCAGACAAATTATGCTACCCTCTGCCTATTGGCTACTTAGCTTATTCAATCCTGTCTCAAAATACAACACTGCCCCTTTAAGCAAACACTCCCCTATTGCTGACTACAAATGATATATAACTGGGCTAATAACTCACTAACTAGCAAAGGGTATGAACCAAATGTCCAAACGTGGCTACATGCAGTGCTTGCTTTGATCACCACTGTAACAGGTTCCCCTGGACAGTACCGTTGATGCACCACTGTAACAGGTTCCCCTGGACAGTACCATTGATGCACTACTGTAACAGGTTCCCCTGGACAGTACCATTGATGCACCACTGTAACAGGTTCCCCTGGACAGTACCGTTGATGCACCACTGTAACAGGTTCCCCTGGACAGTACCATTGATGCACCACTGTAACAGGTTCCCCTGGACAGTACCATTGATGCACCACTGTAACAGGTTCCCCTGGACAGTACCATTGATGCACCACTGTAACAGGTTCCCCTGGACAGTACCGTTGATGCACCACTGTAACAGGTTCCCCTGGACAGTACCATTGATGCACCACTGTAACAGGTTCCCCTGGACAGTACCGTTGATGCACTACTGTAACAGGTTCCCCGAACAGTAACTCTCTCCCCCTCTACCTCCCTCTTTCAGAGTGGACAAGACACCTCTACAGTAGTGCTGTGTGAGAGATGGAACATACCAGAACAGAACAGGCTGCTATTTGACCGTTGACCTTAAAACTAAAGCTCCTACAGAAATTGATGATTAGCCAGGCGAGATGTCATTCTTCACCTTCTTATGTGTTTTTTTAACAAACACAAAAGCATATTCAAATCAAATCAAATCAAATGTTATTGGTCACATGCGCCGAATACAACAGGTGCAGACATTACAGTGAAATGCTTACTTACAGCCTTAACCAACAGTGCATTTATTTTAAACCAAAAAAAGTAAAAATAAAACAACAACAAAAAAAGTGTTGAGAAAAAAAAGAGCAGAAGTAAAATAAAGTGACAGTAGGGAGGCTATATATACAGGGGGGTACCGTTGCAGAGTCAATGTGCGGGGGCACCGGCTAGTTGAGGTAGTTGAGGTAATATGTACATGTGGGTAGAGTTAAAGTGACTATGCATAAATAATTAACAGAGTAGCAGCAGCGTAAAAAGGATGGGTGCAAATAGTTTGCAGTGCAAATAGTCCGGGTAGCCATGATTAGCTGTTCAGGAGTCTTATGGCTTGGGGGTAGAAGCTGTTGAGAAGTCTTTTGGACCTAGACTTGGCACTCCGGTACCGCTTGCCGTGCGGTAGCAGAGAGAACAGTCTATGACTAGGGTGGCTGGAGTCTTTGACAATTTTGAGGGCCTTCCTCTGACACTGCCTGGTATAGAGGTCCTGGATGGCAGGAAGCTTTGCCCCAGTGATGTACTGGGCCGTACACACTACCCTCTGTAGTGCCTTGTGGTCGGAGGCCAAGCAGTTGCCATACCAGGCGGTGATGCAACCAGTCAGGATGCTCTCGATGGTGCAGCTGTAGAATTTTTTGAGGATCTGAGGACCCATGCCAAATCTTTTCAGTCTCCTGAGGGGGAATAGGCTTTGTCGTGCCCTCTTCACGACTGTCTTGGTGTGTTTGGACCATGATAGTTCGTTGGTGATGTGGACACCAAGGAACTTGAAGCTCTCAACCTGTTCCACTACAGCCCCGTCGATGAGAATGGGGGCGTGCTCAGTCCTCTTTTTTTTCCTGTAGTCCACAATCATCTCCTTTGTCTTGGTCACGTTGAGGGAGAGGTTGTTGTCCTGGCACCACACGGCCAGGTCTCTGACCTCCTCCCTATAGGCTGTCTCATCGTTGTCGGTGATCAGGCCTACCACTGTTGTGTCGTCGGCAAACTTAATGATGGTGTTGGAGTCGTGCCTGGCCATGCAGTCATGGGTGAACAGAGAGTACAGGAGGGGACTGAGCACGCACCCCTGAGGGGCCCCCGTGTTGAGGATCAGTGTGGCAGATGTGTTGTTACCTACCCTTACCACCTGGGGGCGGCCCATCAGGAAGTCCAGGATCCAGTTGCAGAGGGAGGTGTTTAGTCCCAGGATCCTTAGCTTAGTGATGAGCTTAGAGGGCACTATGGTGTTGAATGCTGAGCTGTAGTCAATGAATAGCATTCTCACGTATTGGACCTATACGTTCACATGTCAATGTGGTATACACACCTAGCATGGTTCTACATGGTTCTACACAGTGGTCATTAACACCATGTATGTCTGTTTCATGAAGTGAAAATCTGGACGGTACAGAAATGTTGTAAGAAGTAGTTATTTTCATTCTGTCTGTCATTCTGTCAGTCATTCTGTGAAATCACTATCTGACCTCTATGTGATGTCAGACTGTCTGTCTAGTGTTTGTAACACCTTGCTGGCTGTAGGCCACCTTCAACCCTGATCTGATCTGACCTGAATCGATCCCATCTACCAGGTGAGCCAGTGGCGTCCGGAATGTTTTCTCACTAGCCCTGCTGTGGTGGAAGAGGGGATTAAAAATGATAAGAGTGAGAGATGAGCGCCGTCAGGACGTCTCCTTTCTCACCACAGATCTCTCTCTCTATCGGACACCCCCCTCCTTTCCATCCTCCCATACACCTCTCCATCCCCCCATACACCTCTCCATCCCTCCCTCCCTCCCACTGCCTATCCTGACAGCCTCTGCTGAGATGGTGTTGAGGTGATGTGATTACTTTTTACATAACCAGACTGGTGCTCCTGCCTGCAGCAGTAGTGGTGTACAGCCTGCCTGGGCCTCCGAGCTGATAGGGTGTACCAGTCTGCCCTACCCAGGATGCCCTGTTGCAGCACTGATATGATAGATGTTGTTTCCTGCCTGTGGCGTACACAGTGGCATCAGGAGGGAAGAGCAATACCTAGCAGAATCACATTAATACTGTGTTGGGCTGTCTGGTCCCATCTGGACAGTGCACATCCAGTTTGGGCTATCATACTATTTAGGCTGGAGTGGGAGTGAGTGTTTGAGGGTCTCTCACTCTGCAAATGGTCCCAACTGTCCCAAAATAGAGAACAGTAGAGAACATCTCTGGATGACATGCTCCTCACTGAGTAAAAAGGTAAAGTCACCTGTTATCCCTGCCTGGATAGGGAGGAGAGAAGAGGAGGCCTGTGTCCTGACGTTACCTTGTTTGGTGTAAGAAATGTCACAGGGTCACTGAATGCCATTGATTGGTCATTTTTGTGTCTGAAAACTTCTATATGTAAATGGCCTAACCAAATAATGTAATCTCTCCCATCTGAGTCTAATAAACAAATCTGCCGTCTCAATGACAGCTCACTCAATAATCGCCTGGGAGTCAGAACAGGGACATTTTGATAGGCCAAATCGAGCTCTTTACTGCCATGCACCTCCCAATTTTTGTAACAATGCGGAGGGCTCCGTATAGCTGAGATGTGGTTGACGGTAGGTGGGGGCGGGAGGTCCTGTATAAACACAAACTTACTTTCTTGACAACTTCCTTCACAAACAGCTCTGCGACGTGCAAGAAGTATGAATGCCCTGACTTCTATAGAGGCCGTTTCACAGTAAATACTGTACGGCCACTGCAGACGTCGGATTGACCATGCAGAGTCTTTCCACTGTCTGTAGGAGCGAACCATTTTCGTGAATGGGGTGGTGTACCTAATAAACTGGCCGCTGTGTGTATGTCTGAACTGTTCTGAATATCATCATTCATCTCCATTATTGTGATGAGTAGTCGTAGTAAAGCCTAAAACTGTATTTATACTTTGTAACACTGCATACGGAGGTGTATCAAAAGGCAATTAGCCAGGGAAGAAAGGCATGGTCCAATCAGCTTAGCCAAAGCGCCACAATCCACCAGTCACCCCTCACGTTGTTATAATGGGCCATATTTATAAGCATAATTACAGGGGGCTATTTAATACTCTGTGCTGCACTGAGCTCACTGAGTCGCTGCCAAAATATTTAGCGGGGCTGCAGGGTTATGCAAGAGGGGGAGTGGGGTGTGCAGCAGTGGAATCCCCGGAGGTCTCAGCTTGGAGAGCTCTGAGTGTTCCGGGGTTCCAGTTCTAACTGTTAGTTCTAAGTCTCTGTTCTGTCTGGCTAGCTGTGCTGAGGGCTCTTTAACTTAGTGCTGTTTGCTTTGTTCTGCTGCTCTAGCCGGACTATAAAGCTGTAGCGTATTCCACCCAAGGGGAAGTACCTCCATTTGCATTAATTAATTTACCTCTTGAAGAGATGTTTTGAACACTGGTGTACCTGCCTGCTGGGAGGATGAGCTAATTGGGTAGGATAGGTGACATGGTTCAGTTCACTAAGGAAAGACCGCTAACGTTAGTCGGTCAGTCAGTGTCTGTTTCAACTACATGTCTTTGGTTGGTTTCCTACCTAGCGCACTGCTTTCCTCTTTCATATCAGTCCCTGTCTCTGTCCTCCCCACGTCTTTGGAGTTTCACATAACAGTCAGACGTCATAATCTCTCAGTAAAACTGTCCCTTCCGTTTCCCCATGAGGTCAGGTCCCCAGTCATTGTTTGAGGTATTACTGTTTAAAAGAAAATTTCTATGGCTTTCACTAAGGACTGAAGAGATCCAGTAGATTATGACTCAAATAGCAGGTTTCCAACCAGCCATCTGACTGTGATTTTCATCCACAGCTTAGAGTGGATTTACATAAAGTAGAGCCTTCAGAAAGTAGTCATACCCCTTGACTTATTCCACATTTTGTTGTTAGTCTGAAATCAAAATTGATTAAATATATTTTTTTTCTCACCCATATAAACACAATACCCAATAATGACAAAGTGAAAACATGTTTTTAGAAATTCTTGCACATTTATTGAAAATGAAATACAGAAATATCTCATTTACTTAAGTGTTCACACCCCTGAGTCAATACTTTGTAGAAGCACCTTTGGCAGCAATTACAGCTGTGAGTCTTTCTGGGTAAGACTCTCAGAGCTCTCAACACCTGGATTGTGTAACATTTGCCCATTATTCTTCAAGCTCTGTTAAATTGGTTGTTGATCATTGCTAGACAACCATTTTCAGGTCCTGCCATAGATTTTCAAGTAGATTTAAGTCAAAAGTGTTACTCGGCCACTCAGGAACATTCACTGTCTTCTTGGTAAACAACTAGTGTAGATTTGGCCTTGTGTTTTAGGTTATTCTCCTGCTGAAAGGTGAGTTAATCTCCCAGTGTGTGGTGGAAAGCAGGCTGAGTTTGAAATTCACTGCTCGACTGAGGGACCTTACAATTATCTGTATGTGTGGGGTACAGAGATGAGGTAGTCATTCAGAAATGATGTTAAACACTATCGTTTTACTCCTGAACTTATTTAGGCTTGACTTGTTAAGCACATTTTTACTCCTGAACTATTTAGACTTGCCATAAGAAAGGGGTTGAATACTTAAATCGAAAAACATAATTCTACTTTGACATCATGGGGTATTGTGTGTAGGCCAGTGACAAAATAAATCTCAATTTTATCAATTTAAAATTCAGGGTTTAACACAACAAAATGTGGAAAAAGTCAAGGGGTGTGAATACTTTCTGAAGGCACTGTATAAGCTTTTGTGCAATAGTTTTCGTGCAATGTCGAACAACATTGGACGGCGAGAGAAAGAGATCTGCAGTGCTGATCGACTTTCCCTGTAGGTAAAGTAAGCTAAAGAGTAGCAGGCCCAGGTTCTTTAGATGGTATGCTAGGAACTAAGTCAGTCTCCATTTCAAAGCAGTATGTCTTGCGTTTATCTCCTTAAGTTGTTGTCGTCATGGTTGGAATCGTTGTCCTTGTTGTTCTTTTCCAGCCCTGGCCAAGCCTCATTCCGATCATATTCTCTTAAGAACTAAATCCCATCTTGGGAAACATGCGTCTGTGAAACTGGAGCTTAATGGGTAAATAATGCATTGATGTCAATGGGAGGTTTCTGAGCAGAATGGAGGAGGGTTTAATGTTGCTGCTCCCTTCACTTGCCTTGGCTCCTGATACCAGGGCTGTGTAGTCTTTTAGCGGGGGCCACCCCCTTCCTACCCCCATCAAATCGAACCCAAAGCCTGGACCACCAGTGAGAAAAGAAGGAAGTAGTATTTTGTTTTATGTGTTTGTTGTTGCTCTCAGAGCTGTGCTGTGGTGAGCTATGGTGAGCTGAGCTGTGGTGAGCTGTGCTGTGGTGAGCTGAGCTGGGGTGAGCTATGGTGAGCTGAGCTGGGGTGAGCTGTGCTGTGGTGAGCTGTGCTGTGGTGAGCTATGGTGAGCTGAGCTGTGGTGAGCTGAGCTGTGCTGGTGTGGCTTAATATAGCTGGCCATGGAAAAGGAAAGGGCAGGGGCAAGCTGACCAAGGAGGGACAAACAGAGTATGTCTACCGCTTTGAGTTACTGCCCACCACCATCCACTACATACACTGCCATGCCAACCTGGCTCCACCTCTCCTCTCTCTCTCTCTCATCCATCATCAAGCTGCCATGCCAACTTGGCTCCACCTCTCCTCTCCATCCATCATCAAGCTGCACCATGGAACACTGTCCGCAGAGGGGTCATGGGAATTGATTTGACTTCATTTTATTTAAACCCTACACACACATGCAAGCACACACACAGAGTACACACACTCTCTCTATATCATGCACAAACACACACACTCAGGGCAGACACAGACACTGTTATGCGCCAGAGTTGGTCACAGACAGATCAGAGCAAAGATAGGCCATTCACTGTGTGCCTCCAGACTCCATGTAGACTGGGGTTATTTACAGCCTGGTACTTGGTACGGCGCAACGGGCCAGCAGAGCTATGTGAAGAATCCTGGGCCCTCCTGGGTTCCACTCTGACATCTTGTTGGTGGAGGCTGTTTACTCGGAGGGAGCCAGAGCTGCTGTAGTGCCTTCCATATCTACCTCCATCTCCACAGTCTGGCTATGGTGACTGTATTCCTCAGCCAGCCGGACGGACGCTCTGCGGCCTATTTCTTTCATAGCTCTGGCTGATGCCAGAGCTGTGCCAGAGCTGTGGTTGTCATGTTTTGCTGTCATGAAGTGTGCATGGTTTGTGGGTAATGTTTTCATCCCACTGTGTCACTGACATCAACCCCTGATGCAGCTTACGGCATTTTTATTTCATATCTCCCTAAAAGTCATTTCAACTGATGAACACACTGTATATTGGCCTAAAGATTTTCAGAGCAGTTCCATTAGGGGTTAGAAGTTTGTAAAATTTAAACAAGGATATTGAGACAGAAAAATCACTGATATTGTTTGTGTCTTGCTCTAGGAGGATTTCCGGAATAAGGTTCAAGATTACATCAAGCGCTACACCAGGTGATGACTGCATCAGCTGCGCCGGCTGCCTGCACCCCCCCCCCCCCCGTTTGTGACTGCGCAGCTGAACCCCGCCACCCTAATGTCTCTTCAACCAACTAACCGCTGCCCACCGCTGCCACGCCCCGACTGCAATAAGACGTCGCTGGAGGAAAAGAAGATGAAACCCGTTTTTACAAAGTTTGAGGAGGGACTTGTTTATTGTCCTGAGTGGACCAGAGTAATCATGCGTCACAGCAGGGATCGTCCAATGACGGGGCCTCTCGTTGTGTCTGAGCCAATCAGAGTGGGCGCCGGTGGCAGTGAGGACCCGGGATTTAACCAATCCAGTTAGCTGTTATTTAAGAATCGACGAATCAAAGAGAAAGATGATCTGTAACAGTGTTTCTCAGTTCTAGTGCCTGCCATGTTTGTGTTGCAAAGAAAATGCACGCGAGCACACACACACACACACACACACACACACGGAATCCCTTCACGCACATTGAAAAGCAAACGTACTTAACTAGCTACTAACAACAACACACAGCACTTGGTTGTGCACGCAAACCCACACAGAAACCCACAGCTGGAAAAACAACATATCTGTTATGTCACTCATTCCTGCCCCACCCACCCCCACCTCATCAGACCGCATGTGAATGACAAGTGCCACCGACCCAGTCAGTCCCCATTCTAGTCAGTCCTCATTCTAGTCAGTCAGTCCCCATTCCAGTCAGTCAGTCCCCATATTGTCCATTTCACTCTGGAAATGTCTGCAAGACACAAACAATATCAGTGATTTTTCTGTCTGAAATGGCACCCTAATAAGCTCAATAGTACACTACCTTTGACAAGAGCCCTATATGACCTGGTCAAAAGTAGTGAGTGCATTACATAGGGCAGGGTTATTCTACTCTTACCCTACGTGGGCCGAAGCCTGCTGGTTTTCTGTTCTACCTGATAATTAATTTCACCCACCTGGTGTCCCAGGTCTAAATCAGTCCTTGATTGGAGGGTTAGAATTTTTTTTTTAAAGCAGAGGACCTGGCTTCAAGGTCCAGAGTTCAATATAAGGGCCATGGGGAATCATTTTAGACTATTTTAGACACGCCCACATCCTGTCTGTTCTGTTCACTCATCCAGAGGGGAAACACAATCTACCGGTGCCCCAGACGCACTGTAACACTGTCTAGATGAAGCTCCTAGGAAAAGACTCAAGCTGTACCACAATATTAAGTTGTACAACCACACCTGACCCTTGACCTTAGCTGAACTCCCCTGCCCTGACCCCTGGGGAAGCCAAACAGAGGACACTCTGCCTTTGAAAGTCTCTGTCTTTCTTTCTCTCACTCTCTTGCTCCACCCCTCTATCCTGCTGTCTTTCCCTTGCCCCACCCCACTCACGCGTTCTCCTCTGCCCCCATGGAGGTAGGGGGAATACCAGGGCGCTCTCACTCGCTCTCCTCTATGTCCTCATGTGTCTGTCCCTCTCAGTGTGTGTTTGAGAGGTGTGTGTGTGTGCGTATCTTTGAGTGTGTGTGTTTGTTGCTTTGCCTGTGCTGGCTTTATGCCTGTATGTGTGCACATTGGAACATAAGATACAGTGTCATCACTGTATTAAACATTGTATTTACGTTTGCATGAGGCAAAGTGTATGTGATCAGGAGGTGGTGTATTTTACTGTGTGCGTGCGTGCTTTCAAATGAACAGGTGTTCAGATTTGACTTGTTGTTAGCATGCTCTAGTTGCTAGCCCCACACTCCTTGTTTTACTGTTCCAGCTAGCCTAGTTCCCTGTGAGGGTCTGTCCCTCAGTTCAAATCCTCCTTTTTTTTCTCAGATTGTATATCAGTTTTTTAAGATATATTAAAGAGGATATAATAAGGAAAATGAACGTGTCTTTTATTCTATAGTCTGTCCCTGTCATATTCATGGGTTGAGATTGTTGGCATCAATGTTGATTCAACTACAATGTTATTACTGTGTATATACAACAATGTGACATTTTAAGCTAATTACTCATGATGGCACACAAGTCCTCAGGTCTCACACAGTACTGTTTAGTGTTTACTAGCTCTGTTTAGTGTTTACTAGCTCTGTTTAGTGTTTACTAGCTCTGTTTAGTGTTTACTAGCTCTGTTTAGTGTTTACTAGCTCTGTTTAGTTGTTTAAATCAAATCAAATTGTATTTGTCACATACACGTTTAGCAGATGTTATAGCGGTTTAGCGAAATGCTTGTGCTTCTAGCTCCGACAGTGCAGTAATATCTAACAAGTAGTATCTAACAATTCCACAACATATACCTAATACACACAAAACTAGTAAGGAATGGGATTTAAGAATATATACATAAACACTTTCTGAGCTAATAATGTAAAAAATAATACATAAAAAAACAAAATACTGCAAAGTTTCCTAAGAGCTTGTCGCGAGGCCGCCATCTTCGTCGGCGCCAGGTTTAGTGGTTACTAGCTCTGTTTAGTGTTTACTAGCTCTGTGCTAAAGAAAGTGATGACCATAGCAGAATGTTAATCCAGGCTGTCAGTTAGATAGTCAGTCTCCTGAGAGACAGGGCAGTCAGAATGTCAGCAGCCTGGACACACTCCCCTCACCTCTCTCTCTCACACACACACACACACACTTCTTCAGCCGACTTCTTCAGTCACTCACACACACCTCCTGGGACGCTGGGCTTGGGCCGGAGCGTACACACACTGACAAAGACACACCTCTGCCTTGCCGTGAGAGCTGACCAGGCTGGCAGAGAGGCTGTAGACTGCAGTACCGCCCCACGCTCTCTCTTCTAAAGAGGGGGAGACTGCTGTGCTGAGGCAGGCAGATAGAGCAGTCAGGACTGCGGCCATCTTGCTTGAGGCTGCGACACCCACTTTACCATCGTATATATTGGGTCGAAGCTTCTTCCTTCCCCCATGAAAGATTCCTCTCATTGCTACTGCCTCAACTACTGGTATACACCCAGAACAATACACCCACACACCTTCGCTTCCTCTGCACGTAGCCCTTAACTTATTTAGCACACTAGAACCTTGAGGACAAGGTTTTCATTGACGAAAAGAGCTGATTCCCCCAACCTTTTGTGGCCCCTTTGTCCACGGCCATCTGAAGAAGATGGTATCTATTTATCTATTAAGTGTTAAGTACTAATCTCTTTCCACGCTTTCTGACTGACTGATTGACTGACTGGCTGGCTATCTATCCACACAATGACTGACTGACACTGGCAGCGCGTCTCCCTACCTGCCATGTGTAGAGTGGCTGAATGAAGGTTCCTCTGGACCGCTGACAGTGGTTAATCTCAGGGGACCCACTGGAACAGTCATGGTCGGTAGATTAGGTACTCGCACACAGAGAGTGTCCTTAAAGAGACCAGAGTCGGGAGGATGTCTCTCAAAGATGTATCAACCCACTTACTGTAATCCTCCTTATTCCAAATATTGGTCTTTGGATCCTTGAAAAGCGCTGATATAAATTTAATGTAGTATTAGTCTATTTCCATAGTATGATTTTATATGCAAATATGAATTACCAGTAATGGAGCATGACAAAGCAGAGTGGAGAGATTATATTTATTATATGTTTATTCTGATTCCCCTGATAAATACACTGAGTTTACAAAACATTAAGAACACCTTCCTAATATTGAGTTGCACCTCCCACTTTTGCCCTCAGAACAGCCTCAATTCGTCGGGGCATGGACTCTATAAGGTGTCAAGCGTTCCACAGGGATGCTGGCCCATGTTGACTCCAATGCTTCCCACAGTTGTGTCAAGTTGGCTGGATGTCCTTTGGGTGGTGGACCATTCTTCATCTTGCCCAATCACCCTCTGAATGGCACACATACACAATCCATGTCTCAAGGCTTAAAAATCGTTCTT